AGAAACTTCAGTTTTAATTTTGCTTTCTTCTTCCAATGAACACTAGCCTGGTGTATGCTTCAAATATAGGCATAGCTTAGTGGCATCCGTAATTACTTCATTCCATACTATTTGATGTCAAGGTCATTGAAAGTAAGTCATTGAATGCTAAAACCATGATACAAAACAAGAAAAAATTAAAATAACCAAGTGTAATAAATAAATAAATAATTGCAGGAGAAGCATGAGATATCTTCATCCAAAGCAAGTTGACATGGAAGACATTGAAAGAAAATTATATTAAAAAGAATAGAGTGACATAAATAAATTAAAGAGATATTCAGCAGACAGGACGAGATATATTCACCCAAAGCAAATTAAGATCAAACACATTAAAAATAAGTATATTAAACTCTATGAACCACGATACATATAAAAGGAGAAAAATAGAGCCTAATAGTTAACAAAGAAATATGCAGGAGACAACAGGTGAAATGTAATATTACCTTCCTGCTTTTTAAGTGGTAAAAATCAATTAAATCATCTGGCTGTGCATGAGATATCTGAGCCCTGGCTTTTATCTCTTCGGTTTCATGGCGTTGCTTTTCAGCTAGCATTTTCACAAAGCTCTGTCTGCAAGATTGCAACCATATCTTCCTCACTTCATCGCCTGTATTGCTTAGCAATCTAATACAGAGGACAATCCTGTCACGTGAATCATTATCAATTGGATGAGGAAGAAATGAAGATTCACCCAGTTGCAACATGGAAACCATGATCAATAATGACTGAGTGAAGGCTCTGTTCACTTCGACTTTGGAAGGCTGAACCTCCTCTAGTCTCAAAACAAGCTTTGTAAGTGTGCAAGCCACAACTGCACCAAGGAAAAAGTCGCCAGAAAGAATTAAGGATCTCAAATTTCCCATAGAGGATAGGGATCCCTGAACAAGGGTTGGTGGGGACATTGCAGTTTCAAGAGCCGCACTTTGGGTAGCATAGGTCCCATCAGCAAGAATGGCAGGCCGTCTAGAGGATACTGTGGTTGAGCTAACTTGCAGTGAGCTTTTTGAAGACTCTTGTGCCTCTCCTTCCTCTGAAGCTGTGTAGAAAGGAAGGTCACCAAGGCAATTTTTGATCGTAGAGATTCCACTCTCAACTTCAGAGAGCGAGAGACAGTACTCTCCAATGATCCAAAGTGCACAAGAACACACCCTTGCTGCACGAATCTGATAGAATGTATCCAACAGTCTGGTGATGATGGAAACTCGCAATTTGGGATTAGTTTCAATGATCTCACGTACAAAAACAACAACATCCATTGCTGAAGCCACGTTGGTATCGCTCAAGAAATCCATCAAGAGATGTACCACTGTACTGGCGACCTCGGGGAACTTAATTGCACATGTATGTATAGCCTGCACCAGCATTTGCCTATATTCTCCATTCTTCTCATGCTCTCCACTTTGAGTCTTCACCACCTCCTTCTTCAGCAACATAACGACTTCATCAATATTCCTAGGAGTAATCAATTCAAGGGCAATATCTATAGTTTTCCTCCTAATATCAAGATTTGGGCTGGAAAGTGCTCGAAGCACATCCATTACTAGTTCGACCATGATCTCCCTATGAGATGTCTTAAGCTCATTAAGCCTATCAAGAACAATAAGCTTTACGTTGTTATCACTTTGGGACAGCAAAAGCTGGCAGTAAGTATTTGCAGCGGCTCTAATAGCCGTGGGAGCTGAGGAAAGAGACACAAGAGTTCCAGCACACTCATAAACAACCGCAGTTGACGGGGCATTCAACAAAGCTATAATTATCTTAATATATTTGCCTTTCTCGGCCTTATTGGCCCGGCAAACCTTCTTAATTAACTCTAAGACAACCATCAGAAGCTGCTCCCCCCAATCATTCATCTTATCGATGTTGGTAAAGAGGTAATTGATGGCCCTTTCTTGGGCACAATTAAAGAGCATGAGAAAAGCATTTCTCTTACTGGAGTTGTCCTGCTCAGAGGTCAAGAACTTCTCGATGATCTCAGGTGCACTATCCAGTAATTGCTCCCCTTGAGGAAGTTTGTAAACAGACATGACGGCAAGCACCGCATTCCGCCGGACGAATGGATGGCGATGCTCCAGATTGGTGAGAATGGAAGGGATCAGCGGCTCTATGATCTCGGTCTCGTTTATACGGCAGAGAAACCGGAGCGTGACGCCGCGAATATACTCGTTGGGGTGCTGAAGGTTGTTGCGGAGGTTCTGGCAAATAAGAATCATCTCCGGAAGAACTTTACCTCGTGAATCAGTCTTGTCGATGATCTCCAAATAAAGAAGGAGAAGCTTCTGGATGGTGTGGTCATCAGAGGGTAGCACATAGCGTATAAGTGTGATGAAAAGCTGTGGAATGCTTTCCCCATTAAGCAACAGCATAATCGCCTTCTTCAAGGCTTCAATCTTGGATTCAATGTCATTCCCTTCCAAAGCTTCCTTGATCTCATTCGCCATGGCTGGGGAGCCCTTGTCGAAGTGCACCAACAGAGTGCACGACTTCTCCATAGCTGCTTTTCGCTCCGTTTGAGATCTGAAGAAAGTTAGGGGAACCGAATTGTGATGAGACGGAGATTGAATTCAGAAATCTCAGATCTGGGTTGCAAGGGAGAGTAAGAATTCAAGAAACTACCTGATTTGCTACAGTTTGGTGAAGGGAATTAGATCTCCGGAAGTTTTTGATGATGCGCTTCGTTGATGTGGGGAACTCTCAACCTGCAGACAAGAAACTGTCTTTTCAGGGAGCAAGCTATAGAAGATCAGACTAGTCGGGTCGGATTGGTTTATGGACAAAATAAGAAAAACTAAACCGATCCGAACCCGGTCCTATCGGGTCAGTTATACATGTAGTGGTTTCAATTTGCAAAATGCTCATGCCAGAAAAAATTTATTCTTTCTCGTTTTCTTTTCTAAAACATATCCAAGGTTTTGAAATCATTTCTCGTGTTTTGTTTAAAAATAAATAAATTTGAAATCAAAATGATTTGTAAAACATTCTGCTCGATTGCAATCGCTTAGTTTCGCTACTGCGAGAGAGAGAGAATGGAGCAAATGGTTGATGGTTAGGGACGATGCAAAACCTCGATTTGTTAGGCTAAAATCGACTTGAATCGAATCGATTTTGATCGGATTTTCAAGTAGTGAGACTATGGTATAATAATCGGAGACGGAAAACGTTAGCTCCATCGAGGAACGTGGGCCTTGAAATAGGTCTTTATCAAACCCTTCAATCGAATAGAATTTCTTGCGCCAAAGTTCTAAAAAGGGCTCCTTAATTTTAACTTAAGAATTCTTCGTAGGTACTTTAAATAATATTAATTTTGACCAGTGATATGATATGAATGATCAAAATAAATTATGCATTTTAAAAAATATATTAGATACGGTGAGAATGACTAAGTGATATTTTTAGAATCCACAATTTTATTTGAGACAAATTTACCCATAATACAAATAGTTATATAGATTCTTGATTTTAGGATTTTTTTTACAAATATAGAAAAACTACTAAACCCGTGTTTACATCTACAAATTCAAAAATATCAACTTTTTAACTTATTTGAATTTGATACTTTATCATTTCAAATCTAAAAAAACCACTAACCTTTATTTGGATCTAAAATTTTTCATCTAAAGCCTAGTTTTCTAAAACCACTAAATATTGAATTAAATTTGTAAGTAATGGTATTGTAATTTGAAAGCCTAAAATCTGACGTACCTAATTCAAATTTGCCACAAAAAGGTTCTCCAAATTTTTTATAACTTATAGAGATTATGCAAGCTTATTATTTTTAGATTGATTTTTTACGGGATATATTTGGTTTAGATATCTGCATTTAGATTTTAGATTACTAACCAGTAGTTTGTTGTACCTATTTACTCTTCACGTCGTTGTTCGTATTTTTACGTTTCTTTTTTTATAATCTTTCTAAAAATATCTATCGACATTGATACTTTATCCATAATTTCATTGACATTTTTGTAAAACTGAGACTTCGACATTCTCATCAAAATCAACATTTAAAATCTTATATCCAACTTCTTTCTTATCGACTTCACCCAATTTATTCTCCACTTTACCCAATTCACATCATTATGAAAATTCAAAAAATCTTTCAGCACTCATCACATCACATAATTTTTTTTTTTTGTTGACAATTTTGTTCTTTGTAATTTTTATTCTATATTTTTCATCGATTTTATTATTTTTTATTTGTTTTAAAAATAAATATATACAAATAGTCAAAATACAATTTTATTTATAAGCTACATTGAGATATAAAATAAACTTTAATCTGTATATTATCTTATTTATTTTCTATTGAAATCTAGTTTGCAGTTTTTCATTTATTTTAATCTTCCATAGTTATAGACTGAACATAAAACTTTAATATTAAATTAATAAAAACAAAAATTTTATATGAATTTAAATTGTATTTAAAAAATATATATATGTTAGTATATAAATTATATAATGACTGGTAGGAATACTGCTGGTTCTATGTACAATAAATCTCGAGAAACAAATATAGCTATCCAAGTATTCTCAAACATTTTTATAAATATTTCTATAAAACAAACATGACTATCTAAGATGCTAGACATTTATTCCACATATCTAATCTTTCGAGGATCTAAAGATGCCACCTATTTAAATTATTGAAAAGTAAATAACCTATTCAAACTTAAAATTTAAAAGAATAAGAAAAAAATTAAATATATCATAAATAGTTGGGACCGATCTTAATAGTTAACGTTTTTATTTACTAAAAAAAAATAATTTTTTGTTGACTTAAAGTTATTAAACAAAGTTTATTTTTCAAACATTAAAGAGAAGAAAGAAAGATTATTTTATAGTTATTTTGTTTTTTATTTTTTATTATTTAAAATAAAGTTGTCTCTGTTACTTATTTGACATTTTGTCACCTTAAAAAAATCAGGGAAGTCTTTGGTTCACTGATTAAATAATAAACTTTGTTTAATAACTTTAAGTCAATAAAAACATGTCTTTTTTAAGTAAATAAAAATATTAAATATAAAGATGGGTCCCAACTAATTAAAAAAGGTCTCAATTGCCCCCTCCTCTAAACCCAATCCAAAATTTCTTAAGTTTAAGCCCTAAATCGTTTGGAGAATATCATCACATTATTCTTGACAATAACAAAATAACAAAAAAGATCTCCATTTTTTTAACATTGGAATTCATGCGTGAAATACATTTCAAATCAAACTTTTTTTTTTTTTTTTTTTGCATATCAAGGAAGATAAACATTAACTTTTTATTCAGCTATATATTTTTGTAAGGGAGCATTTCATGATCACATGGAGTAAAGATGAGGAGGAAGTCGAGGCTCAGCTACAGCAACAAGTGGGAATTTCTTTGGAGTTGAAAGACCAAAAATTTCTTCCATGTTCAAGTCTTCCTTCCTCATATCCCCACCCAATTTCCAAGAAAATCCATGCAGCAAATTGGCCAAACTTGACTGAATAACCTTTAGACCAAGACTGTACCCGGGACACATCCTTCTTCCAGACCCAAATGGCAAAAGTTCAAAGTCTTGGCCTTTCACATCGATGCTCTTTCCTATGAACCTTTCTGGGTTAAATTCATTTGGATTCTCCCAAACTTCAGGGTCCCTCCCAATTGTCCACACATTCACAAGTATTCTGGTGTCTTTAGCTATGTCATAGCCTGCAATTTTGCAATCCTCCCGAGACATTCTAGGCACTAGCATTGGTGCTACAGGATGCAACCTCATTGTCTCCTTCGCAATTGCGTCGATGTATGGCAGATTAGTGATGTCTTTCTCTTCCACCCATCTTTCCTTTCCGATCACTCTATCGAGCTCTTCTGTGGCCTTGATGAATATTTCTGGCTTTTTCAAAAGCTCCGACATTGCCCATTCAACCGTCACCGCCGAGCTCTCCGTTCCACCTGCTATAAGATCCTAAAAGTAAACAAGTCATGGTTTGGGTTAATTGGAGAGAAAACAACAATGCACGAATTCGAACATAGAACTTTTCACTTCTCATTCTAATATTATTTTAAGAATGAATAAACTAGTTGAATCCAAAACTTAAAGCTTTAAGCTAAGAAATTACCTGAGTAAATGCCTTGACTCCGTGCCTTTCAAGTTTGACTTCAAGATCTGGATCATCAGCCAGCTGCAGCAAAACATCCACCATATCTTTAGCCACGTAATCCTTAATCCCCTTTCTCCTTTCATTATGTTCATCCAACACATGCTCAAGGAATCTATCAAACTTCTTGCTCAACGCCTTCATCCTCTTTATGTAACCCTGCAAATCCAAAAAGTCTATCCACGGAATAGAATCCCCAATATTCAGCACACCACTCAGCAAGAACAACTCATCCAACATTTTCTTGAACTCATCTGGACTAACAATGGCATTCTCCGATTCATCCGTGTACTTCTTCCCCAAAACCATCCTACTAATCACATTCAAACTCACAGTGGACAAGTAGTCCTTCACCTGGATTGCTCTGCCACAAGATCTGTAAATATCTCTAAGCAGAGCACTCATTTCTTCCCTGCGAATGTACTCATAAGAATCAAGCCGTTTGGCGCTGAAAAGCTCCATCAAACACATCTTCCGAGCTTGGCGCCAATAAGGGCCGTATTGGGACCACGTGATGTCGGAATAGTTATAAGTGGTGTACTTTCCGGCGGCGGTTTTGGGGCGCGACACGAAAGTGAGATCATGGGTTTTGAGGAAAATCTTTGCCATTTCGACGGAGGATCCGACAACGACAGGGAAGGACCCGAATCGGAGGTGCATGATGGAGCCGTATTTTCTGGAGAGCTGATGAATGGACTGGTGGGGCAGAGAGCCGATCAAGTTGAGATTTCCGATGAAGGGCCATGGTTTGGGACCCGGCGGCAGGTTGAGCTTCCGGCGACGGAGCCGCCGGGAAAGGAGGAGGAGGGCCACGGTTGCTACCCATGCCGCTGCATAAGAAACCCAAGAAGGAAGTTCCATGGTTGGTTATTGGCAGCGTCGGTGAGAAAAACAGAGAAAGAGATGGTGGAGAATCGATTGGATTCGGAGGGCTATAAATAGGCAGAAATTAAACCGTCTTAAGTCCCAGTTTCGTGAAAAGTTTTGAGTAATTGCAAGATACCAATCTTATCTAATGAATTGCTTGGAAGTTTCTGCTGAAAATCTTGGGATGAACTGCAACCATAACCACAAAACGTGATATGGGACCAGAGTGAAAAGAAGAGACATTGACATAAATGAATGGAAATTTCGCTTTATTGTTCAGAATAATTTAGAATGGGATTTGCAAGTTTTGTTTCGAGGGGAAGAAGTTGAAATAAGAGTGGGGCCATACGGTCGGCCATCAATGGTTGTTACAGAATTTCTACCTAATTTCAAGAGGAAAATGACAATGACTTTGACATCACATCACATCACATCACAACACACAACGTAAAATTTCTCAGAAATGCAATGCAAGAACAAAACAAAAAACAGTACTCCTAACAGTCTTTATTTTATTGTTGTAGTTGATTGATTTCACATTCTATTCTATTGGAATTTCTTTGGAAGTTGAGAGAGCAAAAACTTGCTCCGTGTTCAAGTATTTCTTCGAATTTCCAGCCAATTTCCGAGAAATAGATTGGCTAAGCTTGATTCAACAACTTTTTGGATCAAGATTAAATCTTTGGCACATCCTCCCTTCTGACCCAAATGGCAGGAGTTCGAAGTCTTGACTTTTCATGTCGATGTTATTTTCAATGAACTTCTATGAACAAATTCATTTGAATACCGTTGGATCTCTCCAATTGTCCAAAAATTCACAAATACTCCAGTATTTTTAGCTATCTCGTAGCCTGTAATTTGACAATCCCCTCGACACAATCTAGACATCAACATTGATACTGTAGGGTGCAGCCTCATTGTCTCTTTTACAATTGTGTTAATGTGTGGTAAGTTTGCAATATCTTGTTATTCCACCCACCGTTTACATTCAATCACCATATTAAATTTTTCGACGTCTTGTTAAAAATTTATGGTTTTTTTTAAAAATTCAGTCATTATCCATTCTGTAGTCACTGCTCAAAGTTTACATGGAAAAAAAATACTTTTATTATACATAATGGAAAGTTTTTAAGTTCAAACAAATTTAATATATTACTCGAATTAATATTTATCTAGCTTGTTGTCCAGAGTTTAGTTGCTCAAGTTAAATATACAAAGTTTGGTCTTTATATGTTACCCAAATTCTTATTCTAGTGAATTACCAAATTGCTGGATTTTGTGAATAAAATTATGAAAAAAACTTGACTTTGGAGGAACTTCTCCCTGGTACCATTAAATATTTGATAATTAAGAGATAAATGCAAAAACAAAAAAGATTACAAAAAAAAATAATGAGTTATCAAATATTTAATGATCTTTAACTTTAAGGAGCCAAGTTTTCTCTCTTATTTAATATTAGATAAAAAATCACATCTTTTTATCAAATGACGTGTCTTTTGAATGACACCTTATGAATTGATATGTGATTTGACCAAAGGATCCAACTCTACATGAAAATAAATATATGTTATTTGAATGACCACAAGATTTATATGGTTGATTTGTTATTTTAGAAAACAGAAAAAACTTCTCTTAAAATTCTACTTTCTGTGTACGATTGTTTAAATACTAAGAGTTCGTTGAGTCTTTTGATTGAAGTGTTGTATTTACAAGTTAGTAATCCATTTTATCTTAAGAGAAATATGTTCGTGATACCTTGAACAACATAGAGATAATACAATTATTTTAAGGAAACAACGATACTGTTAAATTTGGATTGATTAATTTCGTTGTTGTCAAGACTTTAGTTCAAATAGTCAAAAGATAGAGATTTGATATATACCTTATTTGAAGGATGAACCTCTAGATTTATTGAATGCCCATATTCGTGGATTTATTATTTCAAATCGATGCATTGATCTAAGCCACCCAAATATCTCGGGTCCAATTTATGTAAAAAACTTGAGAAAATTTTAAAATTGAAACGGCCACATGTTTAATAGTTTTTCCGACATTCTAATCAACTCATAACTAATTATTTTTTAATTGAAATGATTATCTTATTATCGAAGTACAAATCTTAGTTTTATCTACACCTAACACAGATACAATAACTTAAAAAATCGACGGCATGTCTAGTGTAATTTTGGTCATTATAGTAGGTCAAATTTATGCATAATAATTAAAAAAAATTAGTTAAAATATTAAGAATGGTTAACGTACATAAAATGTAAAATATTTATTTATTAACTTGAATATTTTCTATTTCTATTACTTTTTAGAAATATCCTATATGAATGGTCCAAAATATTTGTGTCCCTTCTCACATTTCTCCAACATTGGCTTTTTGCCTCTGCATTATTATATATTTTAAATTAAGATGAAGGCTGACCTCAAAATAATATATTAAACAAATAAATAAAAAGCTCAATGATAATAATAATAAAGCTCAATGCAAGGATTATTATTGGGTCTGTTATATTGGGCTTGCAAACTAAAAACATTATGGGCTTACCACCAATCTCCAATATTATGAAACTTTGATTTACAATCCTCTTTTTAGTTTAAAATATTGTTTTTCTAAGGCATTGATGCTCATTAGTGAAAAACAATTTTTTTCTTATACAAAATTTAAATTTTTGTTGATTTTTTTTAGTGCTACGTGAGTGAGGATTGTTAAACTCATAACCTTTTCGGTGTCTTAATCTGTTAGACTATGTTCAAGTTCACATCTTGATGTTTGTCTAATTAACATGACCATTCCATTAAATTAAATATAGTTTAGACGGAATTTCTTAGTGTTACAATCACATGAATAGATTATAAAGAATGGTAAGATACCATTAAAGTTTATTAATTTAAGAGTAAAATGTATTTTTCAATATGTGTTTCCTTATCAACAATCGAATTAACGTTTTTAATAAGAAAAAAATACACTTTTAATCTCTAAAGTTTGGAGTAGATGTTTATTTAGTCTTTGAAGTTTCAAAATATATACTTTTGATCCCTAAAATTTGGTCATGAAATTTCTTTATAGTTAGTTGACTAGTATTAAAATGATGTGACAGTTAAATTGTATTTTGTTGAATTAGTAAAATATATTAATTTAATAATTTCTTTTTATGATTGGACTACTTTTTTTTTGTTTTTTCAGACTATCTAGTTCCACCGTCTTCTCCCTCCGATGAAATTTACCATCTAACTGTTTGTCATTCTCTAAAAATCATTTTAGATTCAATTGTTTTTATTTTATATAATTTTTAAGTTAAATTTTGTAGAGACCAGAGAAGTCTCGACAAAACTCTTAAAACTTCTTTTAATATAATTTTTAATTTTATATGAAAACGGTTTTCTAAGTTTTTTTTTTCATTTAAGGTAAGTATTTTAGACTTATATATCTTTATCTTATACATTTTCATTGTAGGTCATATTTTTTAAATATATACAAGTATGAAAAATAAGGATTTTTTTAATATTATTTTTAATTAAACTTATTTTTAAAATAATGCAGATTTATTAAAAAAAGATGGAAAAATGCAACTTTGGAAACTTATTCCAAAAATAATGCTGGTGTAAAAAACGTGCGGCTATTTTCCCGCCAAGATGGTCGAAGAGACGACTATCTAGGCGGTTTGGAAAAAAATATATTGCTTTTATTATATAATAATAAATAGTAGTTCTGATGTTAAAAAGCTCCTAGTGGTGTAGTGGGTGTGTAGCTAATTTATAACCCTTCCATCCCAAGTTCAAGTCTTGGACATAGCCCTCATTTTTCTTTTTCATAACAATTAATCATCACTTTTCTCTTTTTTACTTAATATTATCATTTCCATCCCAACTTTTTTTTTATATATTATTATTTATTTAAGAATAATAATAATTTTAAAGTTATTATTATTACGATTATTGTATTTTCTTTTATTTTATATAATCTGGGAGCCATATACTAAGGAAAATATATTAAATAATATATATACACTATTATTTATTTAATAATATATAAAATAAAAGAAAATATATTAAATAATTTTTCTTTTTCATAACAATTAATCATCACTTTTCTCTTTTTTACTTAATATTATCATTTCCATCCCAACTTTTTTTTTTATATATTATTATTTATTTAAGAATAATAATAATTTTAAAGTTATTATTATTACGATTATTGTATTTTCTTTTATTTTATATAATCTGGGAGCCATATACTAAGGAAAATATATTAAATAATATATATACACTATTATTTATTTAATAATATATAAAATAAAAGAAAATATATTAAATAAAAGAAAATACAATGATAGTAATAATAATAAACTTATTATTATTAAATAAATAATAATATATAAAACATAAACAATAATATATAAAATAAAAGAAAATACAATAATCGTAATAATAATAACTTTAAAATTATTATTATTCTTAAATAAATAATAATATATAAAAAAAAGTTTTGATGGAAATGATAATATTAAGTAAAAAAGAAAAAAAGATATAATTAATTGTTATGAAAAGGAAAAATGGGGTAATGATAATATTAAGTAAAAAAGAGAAAAGTGATGATTAATTGGTATGAAAAAGAAAAATGGGGAATATATGTCCAAGACTTGAACTTGGGATGGAAGGGTTACAATTTAGCTACACACCCACTGCACCACTAGGAGCTTTTTAATATAAGAACTACTATTTAATGTTATATAATAAAAACAATATATTTTTTTTCCAAACCGCCTAGATAGTCGTCTCTTGAAGAGACGACCAAGCCCCACGTTTTTTACACCAGCATTATTTTTGGAATAAGTTTCCAAAGTTGCATTTTTTCCATCTTTTCCAATAAATCTGCATTATTTTAAAAATAAGTTTAATTAAAAACAATATTAAAAAAAATCCGAAAAATAACTATCCTTCTAAGTTTCATTATCATCAAATTAATAAATTAATATATTTGGTCCAATTAGTAAAATAAAATTAGTAATTAAACTGTTAGATTATTTTAATATTAATTATAAATCAAAGTAGCTCAAGAAACCCTTAGAATAATTTCGAAAATTTTAAAGAGGAAAAATGTGTATGATAAAATTTTAAAGACCAACTAAACACATATTCTAAATTTCTAAAACTAAAAATGGCTATTTGAAACTTCAAATATTATATCCATAACCCAAACTTCAAGAATAAAATAATATATTTTTTTCTCTATTTTTGAAGTTGGATGACATAAAGAAATGGCCAAAGAAAAAGGTGAACTCAACCAAAAAACAAAACAAAAAAAAAAGAAAAAGAAAAAGAGTTTTGAAAGACGTGGTCGCAGTGGCGCTCCCCCGACTGTGACCGTATCTGAACGACGGCTCACCCAATGGCGTCATGTCCGGCACGTGGCAGTTCTTATGGTGGCCTGTGAGGAGCGTGTGATTTCTAGCTGCCAGCCACGTGGCTATTCTCACCCTGCACGAAACTGAATCTCGGAGAGCCAAATAAAAATAAAATAAATAATTGCGTGTCATTATTATTTATCATGGATCTTCCAGAGGTGGCGGTAATATTACAACTCACGACTATGTCCAATGTCAATACAGCCCCTACTGCTTACTAAAATTACTAGCATATATATTAATTTTGGGTTTTGTCTTCAATAATTATTACATTTTTTTCTCTTGTGGCCTTAGTCGTGTGATTTTCTAGTAATTTTTATCAATATTTACATGGAATTGAGATATCGACATTTTTATTGATATCTACATTTAAAACCTTGACTCCAGTAGTTCAACAGATAAAAATATGCTAACATAAACTTAGTTTAATGGTTAAAACGTGTTGTTTTTTTTTAATACTGTCCATTGTTGATATTTTGAAAATAATTTTGGAGTTGTTAAAAAATAAAATAAAAATAAAAATAAAAAGGTTTACGAAGTGACACATCCTAAGGGTGATATGGTAATTGCAGCCTTTTTCTGGACACCAAGCAATATTGAGAACTGAGAGAACACAGAGATTCATAGAAAGTTACAGAAGGAACTCTCGCTTCGTCATGCTTCTCACTTTCTCGTCCAAGGTATTCCTCTCATCCAAAATTAGGTTTATGGGTTCCTAGATTTGTCCAATTTCAGCACTTACTTTAATTAAGCTTTTATTTTTCTCCTTTTTTTCCCCTTCAATTTCGACGATTTTTGCCGCGGCTGTATCCCAATTTCATATTCTTCTGTAGTATCTCTTGATTGAAATTTTCTTGAATATTTGGTCTGTTTGGTTCTTTTCTGTCTTCTTTCTGCTGAATTTTCGTAATTTTTGTGCTTTCTGGTTCGGCCATTTGGTTGCGTACAGAGAGCTTAAGCTTGGTGTGTCTCACATCGTTTGTAAGAAGGAAAGGAAATCTTGGTAGCTGAAGAATTCGCCTGCTCTGCTTTAGCATTGCTTGTTTTTACTTGGAATTTGTGTTGGTTTCTTGAGTTTATTTGTGGGGTTTCGAGTAAAAAGGGCCATGGCTGTGCCAACCATAGCTCTCTATACGAGCCCACCGAGCACCATCTGCTCCTCACCGCACCCTTGCCACATGAATTCTCACGCATCATACGATTTGGAATTTACTTCTCGGTCCTCGTCGCTGCCATCTTCCACGGCCTCTTCGTCCCAGAAACCGATGATTGGGGGGTTGTCGAGTTTGTTCTCGTCGACAACGGCGAGACACACCTCATCGTCGGCGAGCATTTCAAGTGGTGGGGATGAGCTAGGTTCTTTTAGGCACGATAAAGGGGAGGAACTTAAAGAATTGAGTTCCTCGTTTCGTTATTCCCCTAGTAAATTCATTGGGTCCTTCTTCAATCGGGATCAGAGCCCAGTATCAGTGTTCCAGGGTCCGGTTTCCTGTGGCAGTTGTGGGGTTGGGTCGGCGGTGAGAACCCCTCCCTTGTGGACTGGAAGGGAAAGGAGTGGGGATGCTAGTTTTCATGGACGAGGAAGCTCCAACAGGCTGTTCAATGGGTTTGTGAGAAATGCATTGGGATCGTGTGTGGACTATGATTCACCGAGATTGGAGGTGTCTAGTGATTGTTTAGATGTGGGTTCGTCAGCGTTGATTGTTGATGAGTTGACTTTCAACATGGAGGACAATATTGCAGAAGGTAATTCCGAGTCATATGCAAAAGATTTGCTCCTAAGTGCCCAATCGAAGCACAAAATCTTTTGTGACGAGTTTGTGATTAAGGCTTTTTTTGAGGCTGAAAAAGCACATAGAGGACAGGTAATGCAGTCTTTTTATATCGACAGTGTTGTTATTGCCTTGAGTACTGATGACATCCATTAAGAAACTTTTTTTTTTGGTCTGTTTTTTGTCTTCCTTAGATGCGTGCAAGTGGCGATCCATACTTCGAGCATTGTGTGGAAACAGCGGTGATGCTTGCGCTTGTTGGTGCTAATTCCACAGTCGTTGCTGCAGGACTCTTGCACGACACACTTGATGATTCTTTTGTGAGTCATGACTACATATTGGGGACGTTCGGAGCTGGGGTTGCTGATTTAGTTGAAGGGGTAAGATACCGCTATAGTTATAATTGTGCAATATATCCATTAACAAGTGATGCCGCACACACTTCCCTTGTCATTGGAAGAGGTGGCTTAGGCTTAGGCATAGGACATAATTGCAAAATTTAATCTATTTTCTTGTGAGAAAGAAAATTGCAGATTGCAATAGTGTTAAATTTGGGGTGAAAAGTAACATTCATGCTGTAGGTCTCTTATTGGACAACTCTCTTGCACTTTCATTTTCTTATACATGTTTTTGCATTTTTTCTAGAATTATTGTTCTGAATGGGTTACTTATCTAGCTTCCTTTTTTGTTTTTTCTTTATAATTTTACTGTGTTTAGGTGTCTAAGCTAAGTCATTTAAGCAAGCTTGCTCGTGAACATGATACGGCTGATAGAATGGTTGAGGCAGACCGCTTGCACACCATGTTCCTCGCTATGGCTGATGCAAGAGCGGTTCTCATTAAATTAGCAGACYGTTTGCACAATATGATGACTTTGGATGCATTGCCTCTGATCAAGCGGCAAAGGTTTGCCAAGGAGACTATGGAGATATTTGTTCCTTTGGCGAATCGCTTAGGAATCTACAGTTGGAAGGAGCAGCTAGAAAACTTGTGTTTTAAGCATCTTAACCTGGAACAGCACAAAGATTTGTCATCCAAACTTATGGGTTTATATGATGAAGCAATTATATATTCTGCAATTCAGAAATTAGAGCGAGCTCTCGAGGATAAAGGAATCTCTTATCATGTTGTAACTGGGCGGCACAAAAGTGTCTACAGCGTTCACTGCAAAATGTTGAAGTATGCGTTCTGGCTTCCATCTCTCTCTCTTGTTTTCCCTTCATCTCTGCAGACTTGTTTTCTGACATCTTGTGTTTGGAAGAGTGATTTTTAGTTGAATCTGAATTTGTTTTGCAGGAAGAATTTGACAATGAATGAGATCCATGATATTCATGGATTGAGGCTCATTGTTGAAAAGGAAGAGGATTGCTATGAAGCTTTGAGAATCGTTCATCAGTTATGGCCCGAAGTACTGGGAAAGCTCAAGGACTACATAAGTAAACCGAAGTTAAATGGGTATTTCTCACACTGCAGTTTCTATTGCTTTATTTCCTATATATTTCTTCTCTTATATAATCTGATGGTAAACAGGTATCAATCTATACACACAGTAGTAAGGGGTGAAGGTGACATCCCACTCGAGGTTCAAATTCGGACCAAGAAGATGCATTTGCAAGCCGAGTTCGGGTTTGCTGCACATTGGAGATACAAAGAGGGTGATTCTAAGCACTCTTCATTTGTGCTTCAGATGGTTGAATGGGCCAGATGGGTTCTCACATGGCATTGTGAGACTATGAGCAAAGATCGATCTTCGATCACCTACGCCGATTCTGTCAAACCACCCTGCAAGTTGCCTTTTCACTCTTCTGACTGCTCGTACTCTTACAAACCTCACTGCGTCCAGGATGGGCCTTTGTTTGTCATTATGATTGAAAATGAAAAGGTCTATGCTTATTATTATTCTAGTTAATTCTGTTAAAAGTTAGTTATCTGTCTTGAGTGCGAAAGTGCAGATTTTAACAATTCAGAAAATACTCTGTTTTGGTTATCTCCAGATGTCGGTCCAGGAATTCCCGGCTAATGCAACGATGATGGATCTTTTAGAAAGAGCGGGGAGAGGAAGCACGAGATGGACTCACTACAGGTTCCCAATGAAGGAAGAGTTGAGACCAAGGCTGAACCACAAGCCCGTGAGCGACCCCAAGTGCAAGCTGAAGATGGGCGATGTGGTGGAATTGACCCCGCCGATACCAGACAAGTCGTTGATCGAGTACCGGGAAGAAATCCAGCGAATGTATGAGGGAGGATTTACTGTTGCAACTCCAGAACCTGCAGGTTGGAGTAGCTAACAGTGGCTTCATTGCCTCTTTCCTATGCCCACGCTTCAAATCATGGGTCAGATTCTCTCGTAGTTGTAGATAAAATTATAAATATCTGTACATATCTGCTATGTTGATTTAATGTAATCGGGTTTTAACTGTCATGGTAAATACCTTACATTACCACCTGCTGTACTTATTACTACCCTTTCTGATGTTTATATAATTGAAGCTTGCCTTTGAAAAAGGTTACAAGGCTGAACCTCCAATCTTTTTCAAACAAATTCATTTCACACTTATCATTTATGCTACTGTTTTCGACCTCTTAAATCTTATGTTAATTCTTTAACAAGTCCTTAAGTTTTCACTAATCTTATTTATTATATATATTTTAATTTCGTGTCTGATAAGTCAGTATTCGACACCGACCCAGAAAGTTCAAGGTCTGCTACTTGTAAATTTGTTGATTTTAAGTTCTCAAATCAGCACACAACATCACCGCCAAGTGCAATACACTAATAACTAAAACCATTATATTTGATATTAATCCATGCCAAATCGCAGCAATACAAGTGTGTGAGTCAAATAAATAAGAACATGGAAGTCGATTTTGTTTCTCTATCTCCAGAGGAATTCTTGCACAGAGTTTTGCCAATAAAGTAGGAGAATCAACATCACCAAAGTCCCAGCTAGTCCCCAAGAGGAGGTCCCAATTTTAAGAACCCAAGAAGAATGTGAAGAGAGAATTGCAGAAGCTCCCTCCCCTCTGTGCGTGGACATGGATGAGGAAGAGGAAGATGAAGACGTCTTAATGGCAATTACAAGCCCCATAAGAAGCATTGGAAGAACAAATCCAGTCTTCCAGAGCTGCTTTCGAAGGATCTCAATGGAGAAAGCAGCAGTGCAGAAGCAAGAGCCAAAGCCATGGCCAGTGGTCTCTGAGACGTATCCATGTCCATGGTTTTGGGTTTTGTTGAGCAGAAACCATGGGGGAAACGGGATTTATAGGCAGGAAAATGGTGGCATGGGTGAAGGAATCTATGTGGAAAGGGTGTTATCAGATGAGATGAGCAGGGCCGTCCAAAAAGTAATAAAGGAAGTATTTCTAATTTTATTTTATGAGCAAGAATTGTGGAAAGATTGCATTTTGTAAAAGTAGGCAGGGGAAAAGTGTTGCTTTGATTTGGAAGTAAGGTATCTTCTCATCTTCCATCTTCCATTTTCATCAGGACAATATTTTTTATACATACCAGTATACCAGTATACCCTCCCGTTTTCTTGTATATCCGTTTCTCGACACATCGTTTCTCTACTTAATGGTCATCTAAGTATCTTGGATAAAATTTTAATGTTTTTTGGCAACTATAATTGTAGGGTCATGCGTTACCTCGTAAATTAGTCAAAGTGTATATAAGTTGGTTCAAATTTTCACAATGTATATATATATAATTAAGTGGTTAAGAGATTTTTATGGTTAAGATTATAGATTTGAATCTCACTTGTATTTTTATTTGGAATGTAATATTCTAAAAAGAATAAAAAGAAGCTTAGAGATTCTGGAAAACTCTATAAAAAAAACCTCATCTTTGAGGGGTTGGGATTTATAGACATTTCTAATACAACCTAAATGTTCGATATATACGACCCTTTGTCACAAATTTGATTTCGGTTTGAGCTGTTCGTGTAATTTATCTTAGGTTAAATTGCAATTACAATGTTTAAGTATTTATCTTAGTTTAAACCTAAATGTTTGATTCGGATTTGGTCGTTTATTAATTTACTCCCTAATTACTTCTAAAAAGTTTAATAATGTCACGAACTTAAAAGTATGATTCCTAATGTTGTTGACTAAATGATGATAAGACATACCCATAACATAAACGTAAATTCGAGGTCAATGACATTTACTTCTTTTTCGAGCTTATTATACCAACGTTAATTATTGGGCAAATGTGACAAGAAAATAGCAAGAGAAAATGAATAGCCTGAAAAAACAAACTTGTTAATCAATCAAATATACCTTTCATGATCAGAAAAACAGAAACCCACTTTAAAGAATTGAAGTTTCTTTCCAAATATGATTTTAAAATTTTGAACAATCATAAAAAAGGGAGAAGACAAAGCAAACCAAGCACTTGATCTGGCCATCCTAACTCAGGTAGTAATCAAATCAACTTAAACTTTTGAGCATTTGGTTTTTGTTTCATTAGAAGAGTCCTTAATTTGTTAAGGAAAATCCATTTTTGGGTGAAAGGGAAGTCTTATAATTTGGGGTAACAAAGAAAGAGTGCTCCCTCTCTACTTGGCTTTCATCAGTTGCAGAGGTAAAGAAATGAAATCAGATGGCTTCAGCTTTGTCTCTCTTTCCCATTATGTTGCCTTGCTTTTAATAACATTAAAAAGCAGTGGTTTTGAGGTTGGAAATTGCAGGCATTTGGGGCACAAATCAAAGCAGCAGACTTTAAAGGACACTGGACTGAACATGCTGTGAATGCAATATTTATGGATTCTCTCTTTTCTCTCCTATTTTAATTTGATGCTTAAAAGCTGTACCTTTTATGAGCCTTGTCTTTAAATCCTTACTACCCTTGGTCTAGTCCAAACTTCTTTAAAATATTTGTGTAAGCATTTAGTGAATATATTTGGAAACACTCAATTCTAGAAGTGTACTGATACAATTTCAAAGAAAATATCTACCGCTTCAATTAAGATGACATGTTCATAACGAGTTGTGAGGATTAATATGTGAGGATTAGCCTCACTTTTGGTATTAAAATGATGAAACAGCCCGCAGGCAATACAGTGCCGACCCACCTATTCGAGAGGGTGGGCGTTCTCTCCCTGTCTACCTTTCTACACTCAAAACAAGACTCTCTCTCTCTAATCCCAAGACATCCTTACTAATACTCGTTGCCCTATTACAAGACTGGGCCCCACCCAAACCGTTATTCCCTCACGCACGTCATTCCCTTGTCCCTAGGACAATTCCCTTCCTGCCCCTCCTATGATAAGTATTAACAATGGGGTCTAACAACTTCCCCTTTGTTAGCTCCACCTTGTCCTCAAGGGGGAAATCTGGAAATTGGTGCTACATATCAAAGTATGTTTCCCAAGTGTCTTCTTCTTCCGGTAGGCCTTTCCAACTAACCAAGCTTCCTTCAAACCGGTACCCTCATTGACTCCTGTTGCAAAAATTTCCTCAAGTTCCGCCCGCCATTCCCAGTCTTCAGTCAATTGTTGCAGAAAGGATTGCACAGGGATGTTAGCACCACTGCCTTTTTAATTTGGGAGACATGGAACACAGGGTGGATAGCCGCCACTTCTGGTAGTTCCAATTTGTAAGCTACTGAGCCAATTTTCTGCATAACTCTATAGGGACCAAAATATTTGGCCGCAAGTTTTTCATTGCGCCTTTTGGCTAATGATTTCTGACGGTATGGCCGAATTTTGAGGAAGACCTCATCAACCACTTGAAACTCCACCTCACGGCAGTGGGTATCCGCTTGTTTTTTCATGCGGTTTTGTGCCTTCAATAAATTCTCCTTCAGTGCAGCTATGGCGGTGTCACGGTCAGCAAGCTGCTGATCTAGAGTGACAGTGACTGTCTTTTGGCTGCCATAGGATAACAGTGGGGGTGGCGTGCGGCAATAGACGGCTTGGAAAGGTGTGGTACCCAACGAGTTATGGTAAGTAGTGCTGTACCAGTACTCATCCCAAGAAAGCCACTGCCCCCACGTCTTCGGTGACTCGCTGCAGAAACAACGTAGGTAAGTCTCAAGACATTTATTCACTATTTCGGTCTATCAATCCGTCTGTGGATGGTAAGCCGTACTTCTCTTCAGCTTGGTGCCTTGGATCCGGAAGAGTTCCGTCCAAAAGTGACTGAGGAAGACTTTGTCATGATCCGAGATAATGGATTGAGGAAATCCATGAAGTCGTACCACTTCTCGAACAAAAGCTGCAACTACGGACTTGGTGGTGAAATGATGGGTGAGGGGAATGAAATGAGCATATTTGCTCAACCGATCAACCACGACAAAGATGGTATCTTGCCTCTGAGATTTTGGCAATCCTTCCACGAAGTCCATAGTAATGTCTTCCCAAATCCGCTCAGGGACGGCCAACAGTTGGAGTAATCCGGTTGGGGCAACGGTAAGGGACTTGTTTCTCTGGCAAACATAGCATTCTTGCACAAAGTGTTTCACATCCGCTTTCATACCGTACCAATATAACTCCCCTGTAATTCTCTTGTAAGTCCTCAAGAATCCTGAGTGGCCTCCCAAAATAGAATTGTGGAATAAGTGCAAGATAGCAGCCTTCAACGTTGAGTGGTTTGAGATCACCATTCGGTTCTTGTAGTAAAGTACCCCATGTTGCAGGCTATAGTGAGGTCTTGATTCTGACCTTTCTCTCAACTCAGCGATATCTTAGATAGCTCAGGATCTGTCTGCACCTCTGCTTTCAGTAACTCAACATTTAATAGAGAGGGCACGATCATGACAGCTAAGTGAGGACCAATGGGCATGCAGGACAAGGCATCAGCTGCCTTATTTTCAAGGCCCGGTTTGTACTGTATTTCGAAGTCGTACCCTAGAAGTTTGGAAACCCACTTATGGTACTCGGGTTGCACAATCCGTTGCTCCAAAGGCTTGTTGATTTGTCCATACCACAAACCTTTGCCCCAACAGGTAAGGTCTCCACTTTTGGATGGCGAGAGTAACGACCATCAATTCTCGTTCGTAAACTGATTTGGCTTGTCCTTGTCTCGAGAGTGTGTGGCTAAAGAAAGCGATGAGACGTTGCTCTTGCATAAGGACAGCCCCTAAACCAGTCCCCAATGCATCAAAAGGAAAGTTGAAATCCGGGAGGGCCAACATAGGTAAAGTCACCATCACGATTTTCAGCTTCTGAAAAGCTTCAGTTGCCTGATCGCTCCACTCAAATGCATCTTTCTTGAGGAGTTGAGTGAGTGGCGTTGCCAAACTCCCATAATTCAGCATGAACTTGCGGTAATACCCGGTTAGACCAACGAACCCTCGCAATTCTCGCAAGTTGGTAGGTAGATGTCACTGTAGCATAGCTCTTATTTTCTCAGGGTCCGCCTCCACACCTTCTGCAGAAACCCAATGGCCCAGATACTCGACCTTTTCTTGTGCGAGGTAACACTTCTTGAAGTTGGCATATAACGAATGGTCTCGCAAAAGGTTGAAACCCACAGTCAAGTGAGTAACATGGGATGACAAATCTGGACTGTAAATCAAGATATCATCAAAGAAGACTAAGACAAACTTACGTAGGAAAGGCCAGAATACTTGATTCATTAGAGCTTGGAATGTGGCAGGCACGTTGGTCAGCCCAAATGGCATGACTAGAAACTCATAGTGGCCTTCATATGTTTTGAATGCTGTTTTCTGAACATACCCTGGTGCCATTCGAATCTGGTGGTAACCAGATTTCAAGTCAATTTTGGAATAGATGCGCGATCCGTGGAGCTCATCCAATAATTCATCGATCACTGGAATTGAGAATTTATCCGACACAGTAACATTGTTCAAAGCCCTATAGTCAACACAAAACCGCCAACTTCCGTCTTTTTTCTTCATCAAGATGACCGTGCTGGAATAAGGGCTCACGCTTGGTTGTATTAGCCCTTTTTGGATCATTTCCCCTATCATTTTCTTAATCTTCGCCTTCTGCACGTGCGTATAACGATATGGCCTAACATTAACTGGGGCCACCCCTTCCTGAATCTAAATTGTATGGTCAATGGCGCACTGAGGAGGCATCTGTTGTGTACTTTGGAAGATGTCTCGGTATTCATCCAACAGCTGATGAACTTCTGTCGGTATATGGACATCCCTGACTTCCATTTCTTCCAACTGGCCTGCTCCTTGAGCCGTCAAAGCCCTCAACTCCACAACGTATCCTTCATCAGTATCTTGCCATGATCTAGATAGACGTTTTAAGGACACCTCCAATCGTGCTAAAGTTGGATCCCCTCGTAAGGTGATCTTTTTATCTCCCCGAATAAATGACATTGTCAATGCCGACCAATCCGTTTCCATTTTTCCCATGGATTGGAGCCATTTCATTCCTAGAATCACATATAGGTCATTCAATTCAATCGGAAGAAAGTCCTCGACCACAGTCACTTCCGGTAGCTCTAACACTACCCTGCAACACACGCCCTGCCCTTTGATTGTCATCCCTATTCCAGTGATTATGCCATAGTTGAAAGTGTCTGATCGATTAATCTCTAACTCCTTTACTAACTTGAGGGAGATGGAGTTATGGGTGGCGCCACAATCTAGGAGAAGCACCACCTCATGTCCCTGGACGGTTCCCTTAAGCTTAATCATTCCAGGGGTTGTCAAACCCACGATGCATGGTATTCAGGCGGCACATCACGACTTTTCCTTTCTCTTCTGTGCGGTCTAGCTCAACCACTTCTGGTTCCACTTCTTCCATCTTCGTCTCATCCTCATCATGTACTACAATTATGCGCAGTTGCTGGTTTCTACAACGCTGGCCCACGGTGCATTTCTCTTCACATTTGAAGCAGAGTCCATTCTCCCTTCTTTTTCGATATTCCTCCTCTGTAAGGCGTTTGTAGGTGGGTTCCCTCCACGCCATGGTTGGCGTACTCGCCGTTGCCACCGTTCCCGATTTACTTGCCAAGGTGACCGTACGAGTAGCTTGGATCTCCGTTGGTTTCGATATTGCCTTCCCTCCTACGGCGTTGATCCTCGCTTTCCGATCGACTGTTCCCTCCCCTGCTTCTTGGACTACCGTGGCAATGTCCTCAACAAGTTGGGCCCGACGCATCATCTGATCTATCCCTGTGGGCTCCATAGCTAAAACTTCGGCCCTAATTACTGGGTGAACGAGACTTCGGCCCTAATTACTACGTGGCAATGTCTTTCCACAGTTTTACAATAGTATGATATCATCTACTTTAAACTTGTTAGAGTATATAGATTAGTATATTTTATATTCTTGTATTAATATTAATTTGTCATTTACCTTCTCCTTGTAGGATTAGGTCAACCTTGTATATTTGTCTATATATATAGACTTTAATAATGAGAATACATTAAAATTGGATTCTCTCCAACTTTAGTCTCTTCATGGTATCAGAGCTCTAGGTTTCTAGGTTTCTGGCCCATTAGGGTTTTGTGCGGTTTTGTCCCTTAGGGTTTTGTTCATTACTATCCAACTCAACCCACTGACCACCGTCGCCGACC